AAGAAAGAGACAGAGGCTCATTCTGGCTGCACAAGACCTAGCCTTAAGAACAAATGCATATAAAGCCAGAATTGAGAAGACAACAACAGACAGCAAATGCCGTCTCTGCAAAGAAGCTGAAGAAACAGTGGACTGTTAGGCGCTGCAAGAAGATCGCACAGACTGACTACTGACAACAGCATGACAGAGTAGCAACAATGGTGCACTGGAATATCTGCAAGAAATACCACTTGCCGGCAAGCAAGAACCGGTGGGATCACAACACAGACAAAGTAATAGAAAATGAAGAAGCTAAAGTGCTCTGGGACTTTAGAATTTAAACAGACAAGCACTTGCCACACAACACCCCAGACTGAACATTTGTTGATAAGAAAGACAAAAAAGTCTGGATAGTGGGCATTGCAGAATAGAAGAGAAAGAACTGGAGAAAATCACAAAATATAAAGACCTGAAAATAGAAGTAGAACGACTGCAGCAAAAGAAAGCAAAGATAGTACCAATAGGAATAGACGCCTTGGGTGCAATCCCAAAACAGCTGGAGCACCCCTTGAAGACCATCGGCATTGGCCAAATCACCATCAGTCCATTGCAAAAGGCAGCTTGACTTGGAACAGCTCACATCCTGCGACAATAAACCTTTAACACCATCCAGCAACATCTGCCTACCCCAGGTCCTTGAGGATATGAGAATAAAAATGCCAAATCCAGTCTAAACATCTGGCTGACTTGTGTGACCACCACCACCAACAACAACAATAATGGTTAGAAAAGATTTGTTAATCTTCCATAACAAAAAAACAGAGTGTTGCGGTACCTTAAGCACTAAACAGTTGTATTTTGGGATAACATGTCCTTATAGATTGTGTCCAGTGATCAACCACCTTATGAAATGGACCTGATCCAGAATGTGAGTCGTGTGGTAATAAATCTGCTACATAACTTTTTATTTATTTACTGGCCTAGGGTTTCTCTGCGAAGAGGGTCTGGCAAGCTGTCACTTGGCTTCATACTGGCCAGGCGAGGGTACCTCGGGGTGAAAGGGGCCCTTCGAAATATGAGGCTGTTTCTTTCCTTCTGTAGCGAGGAGGAGTCAGCCTCTGCCCCCATCTGCCTTCTATCAGCACCCAGCCTGGCTTGGGATACTGTACCCTAAAATGGCCTGCAACCTCCCTGCCCCACCACACCAGAAGTCTGGGAAGGGGGTGCCACCCTCCAATCCAAGAACGTCAAACACCAGCTAACTTACCCTTTCCCCAGGATCTCCGATTGGGCCCACTGGCCCAGTTGTTCCTGGAGGGCCTGGAAGTCCCTGATGGAGAAGAGAAAGAGGGAACATCAGCAACAAGGAAAGTCCCATGCTCGTCACGGAGGGGGAAAGCGCAAGAGGACCGGCCTACTTCTGCATGGTCAGGTTGACCTTGCAAGGCAAGCCATGGAGCACCACGTTCATCGTATGGATGCAACTGCGGGGAGGGGCAGCGGCCTTCGCAAACTTGCTCGAGCAGCAGGAGGAGACCCACACCCATTATTGGGGCCAAAAGGCGAAGAGACGCAAGCAACTTACTGCTGGGCCTTCTGGGCCAGGTGGTCCTTCGAGAAGCATGCCCTGAAAAAGAAGGAGGAGCAGCTGAAAAGACTGATCAGCACCGGGCACTCTGAATTACAGATATTTGCACCATTTGTTTTGTTTATGGCTGCAAGGAGAACTGCTGAATCCCTCCAGAAAATCCCATTCAGTCTCACCCTGATTGCCAGCACTGCTTACGAGCATCTAGTGCATAAGGGAGGAAGGGAGGGAGGGAGGAGGAAAGACAAGCACCACGATTTTACTAAGCTCATTTTTGGTGTACCAAAAGTGGTGTACCCCCCAAGGTTTTATGGAATTGGGTCATATATGGAGGCTGATATAAATAATACATGGAATGAGTTGACATTCAGGTCCCTCCAACCATCTTTGGGCACAGATCCACAATTCCTGACGACTACCCAAGAAGGCCACGGCAATTCTCCTCCACAGATCTGCCCAGGTGCTTTTCCAGGCTTCATCTGTGTGAATTCCAGAAATGAGGAAGTGGTCAGAGTCCTGCAGGACAGGAGATGAGAAGCTGGAGCTGCTGGGGCCATGGATCCCAACCCCAAAAGCGCTGAGGAATCAAGTTCTCCTGGTTTCTGCACATCAGCCCCAGAGCAGATTGGGAAGACTGCCCAGAGCCTCCTCCCCACCCCTGTTCCGAGCCATGCAAAGACTACTTGGTGAGTCACAGGACATGGACAGACCACCTTTGGGGCGCAAGGGAAATGAGAGAGGACCTGAAGGTGCTCTCAGAAAACGGCCATCTGGAGCAAAGTTTCCTCTTCCCGAAACAGCTGTGGTGCTGGAGCCCCCTCAGTTGGCACCCTTGCCAACAAAGCCTGGGTGCCCCCCCCTTTAATTTCCCAAGAGTCTGCTGGGGCTCGAAGGCATCCCAAGACCCGTCCAGGGGCTGCTGCCTTAAAGGGAAGTCAGACGCCAACAAGAACAGAGCAGAAACGGAGCTGCCTCAGAAGAAGAGGTGGGCACCCTTCCAAACTGAGGCCGGATTCCTGCTTTCCAAAAATGTCTCCAGCTCCATGAGACCTAAAAACGTTCTTGGGAATGAAGATGGGGCAGAACTCGCTTTGCAATACAGAAGGCCACCTCCCCATTTTTTTGTAGTTTTACACCAAAAGCATCTAAGAAAAGTGGCCAGGGAGGGCAGGGAGTCAAACAGACGGCCCGGGGAAGGCAAAGCGCACCTAGCCGCACACTCTGAGCCCAGGAAGTCCAGATTTGTTACTCGAAGAACATTAAATAGCCACAAGACAGACAGCGAGTTGGGCCAGGAATGAGCACCACCTGGTAATTCCCACCCTGACACCCCTCCCTGCCTCTCCTCAGGATCCTTGAACTGTGAGACAACCACGTGCAACTGATGCCACCTGCATTACCATCTCGCCCAGCTCACACAGGCATGCACAGCTTATCCTTTGCAGGAGAAAGAGTTTTAAATAGGAGCAACTGTGGGGGAGACCATAGTCCACCCCCCCACCCCACCTCCTCGTGCTGCTCTGACTTCCAGCCCTGCAAAGGCTGCATTTCCGAAGAGGAGCAGTGAAGGCCTTTCTCCAAGCCCAGCAGCCGGCACGTTCCCAGCTGCCCTTTCCACGGAAGTGCCCGTTGGGGATGGCAGCTGCTCCACCGAGGAGACGGGCACTGCCACTCGCTGCTCTCTAAGTGCAGATGCGGGTCTCTGTTCAGGGCAGGTCCTTCTCTTCCAGCGGCCCCTCCAGCGGAGGCTAGAATAGCAAGCCAAGGCTGCTGGGGGGGGGGGGGGGGGTGGCTGAAGGGGCCCAGCTGGGCAGGAGGAGAGAGCTGGACCAGCCAGAAGGGAAGTCCCAAATGGTTTGCAGCCTCAGTGGGGGCACTTGCACAGCGTGCTTTACTTGCTTCCTGAATTTTCTAGGTTGCCACAATATACCGTAATGAACCATTAATGAACCAAAACAGGCCGGATCAGGATCAATAAGCAGCAAACCTTCTCCAAGGTTGACACCAACCGACGCCCGTCAGTCGTGGGAGTGCAGCTGTTAAGTCTCTACCTGGCCTGGTTAAGCATCTTGTGCGAATGCAGCAGCAATCACTGCAGAGGGTCCCAGTTTGGGGGTGGCTTTTAGGTGGGGGGCCAGTCGGACTGGGGAGGACAAAGCAAAGACCAAGCCAGTTGCAGCCGGGGTGGCACAGAGGTGAAGGCGCGTCATAGGAGTGGGGGGACCCAGGTCTAGTCCACCCTCAACTGTGCAAGCCCCTTGGCTGACTCTGGCCACCCCCCTCTCTCAGCCCAACCTGCCTTGCAAGGTTGTTGTTGGGTAAAATAGGAGGAAGGAGAGCTATATACTGTATGTTGCCTTGAGCTCCTGAGGAAAGGTGGGACGGAAGTGGGTGGGGGCCATGATCCCCGTGCCCAGGGACAAGGGAGGGGAATTTCCTTGTTCTTTCAACTGCATTAAGCGTGTTTTAGCAATTATATTAAACACGGCAGGAAACAATCCCTGATCTTTGGCAGCTGTAGCCAGAGGAGTTTCAAATGACAAAAAACACATCCTGGTCTTCAGGTGGTTTTGCATAACAAATCACCCATCAATATATCTATTTTTTAGGTTTGACTCACGGTCACCCATACCTCACAGCTAGATTCCTGCAACGAGCTTTACGTGGAGCTGCCCACGAAGACCCCCAGAAGCTTCAGCCGGTGCGACATGCAGCAGCCCAGGGAACACTGGGTCCACTGAGGCTCTCCCACGTGGCACCGCCACCGTGGGAGCCCCGCTGGCTGGTGGGCGCCTTCTGGGGCAGTGCGAGGGTTGCTACACGGCCACAGCCTGGACAGAGTCACCTTGCGTGAGATGGGCGGTTCTATACAGGTGATTGATAAATAAATAAATCGTCTCCACACTGCCATCCTGGGACTAAGCCTGCCCATCCAGGAAGATCTGGCTGAACGGGGTCCCACCACTGACAAAGTGTCATCTTCAGGGACTCTGGGTTTGAACCTTCTCAGTGATGGCCCTCCTTTTGTCAGCTTAACCCTAGATGCCTATATTTTTGAAGAGCAATAAAAACAAGGCTCTTCCGAAAGGCACTGAGGGACAAACCATGATGAATGGTGGAACATCAGATTGATTGTTTATAAATGTATTAATTGATTTTAGCACTTAATCTTATTACATTAATACTGTAAGCCACTCAGAATCTCTGGAAATACAGCACCACAGAAGTTGTGGAAATGAATGAATAATCAAACAAGGAAATTTGTTTCAGCTTGCTCTGACATGCTGAGAAAACGGAGGGAACTCTCAGCTGCTAACCTTCCGGCATAACCAGGTAGGGTAGCAGTTTGTATGACAGATCTCTGTTTGTCCTGGAAAGGCTAGAACCTTGATTGCCTTGTCCAAAAAACCCAACAGCAACATGAACAAAAAACAGTAGACAACAAAACCTATGAAGTTGAGGTAGAGTTTGGGAACTGAATGATCTTAAAATCATTAAGCCTGGAATTACTGGACTCATGCTTAATGATTTTTAAGGCACCACAAACCTGTCTCTATCTGCACAAAAGATTAAAGTGGTTTCTATCAAAGTCTAAACATTTGCACAAGAAAAAAACAATCCAGTGGTTATCTGGATTTCTACAGTAGAGATTGATTAGGCTTGCATTCAGATGTCCAAATGTGCTTTATGTGGCTAAAAAAATAAGGAAAAATAAGCTGCTGAAAATAAACAAGCACATCAATACATTAGGGTGCTGGTTCCCCAAAAACTTGTTCATGCTACCAAAGAGATGAGAAGGGTGGGGTAAAGCTTGGACTGAACTACAAATTTAATTCCTTGGCCCCTCTTATTGCTACAGGTCAGGTGGGAGATAGCAAAGGCCCCGTGGGGAGGGGAGGCTTCCAACATTCCTGTCTCACAGCCCTGGGTTAAAGCTGGCTCTCCAGATTCTGCTGGACTATGATACCTATCATCCCAGGCTGGCTGGGGTTGGGGAAATTGTAGTCTGAGTGAAACTGATGTGCTTCAGTCACTATCCAATGAGTTTGTCAGTCAGAGGAACCTAGGATCAGCATGGTTAATTTAGGAAGTTAGGCTGCTGTGGGCACACTCCTTCCCAGTGGTCCTTGGGCACAATCCTCCAGGCCCTTTCTGATTTGGCCAGCGGGAGAGTTTGGTTCTTTCAAGGCAGGATCTCCCTCTGTTCCCTTCCAGGTCACCAAGCGGATCCCCAGTCTGGAGACCCAAGTCAGCCTGAGCAGCTGCTGAGCAGTGATGGTGACCAGGGGAGGGGGGCTGCACCGTCAACCAGGACAGAGGGAGATGGTTTTGAACAAGAGTTTAATGCTCTTCTGGAATAGTGCTAAACCTGTATCCAAAAGGAGCCCAACTCATACCAACTGGCTCCCTTTGAACACACCCACACAAAACACTTGGCAAAAGTGAATGATATTCTGGCTGCTGGCTAAAACTGCTGATCTAGCCATTCATCAAAGCTCACCTCCTTCCCATCTCAATGAATTGGCAGATGTCTTCCCACTCGGTGGTGGCATTTAATGAGAGGGGAGGGAATAACATCCAGGGGCTCCCCAATCCCTGTCCTCTGGGCTCTGTACGTGGTAAATAAGGACGATGCCTTCTGACGGCACCATGCCTGGGGCAGGACAGGGGGCAGCAATGGGGACAGCACATTTTATGCTGAGCTAGCTTGGGGTGGCTTAAGGATTTGGGGGAGAGGACTTCCTCGCAATCCTGAAGGAGAACCTCAAGATGAGACATTACTAAGAGATGCTATGCAAGGTTCTTCGCCTTCTCTTCTGCACTTGGCTGCTGGCCCTGGAATAAAGCATCGTGGTGCTCAGCTTGACAGCCACAACACTAATCCCATCAGGTGCCGCTGACACCTACGTTGTGCGTCTTCTCCACAGTCAAAGCAGGGGAGCACTGGGCTGAGATGGGACTGAAGGAGGCCAAGCTTTTTCTCCTCTGGATCATCTCAGCCGCAGCTCATTTCCACATTCAAATTCTCCCTGGAGCTTGAGCGAGGAGAGATTGCGAGTGCTTCCCAAGATCCTGTGGCTGAAACATGCCACTTTCAGCATCTCCACCTAAGCAATTTTACGCAAAGGAAAAGGTACTGGTTCCACACACCAGTGCGTCCAAGAGAAAGAGTCCTAGTTCAGCCTATTTCCACGTATGCAAGAATCCAGACCTCCGAGTAAGAGCACTTCGCCCTTTCAAGTGATCCAGGCTTCAGGATTTCCATCTGCCATTTCAGGCGTCTCTCCGTTCACCCCGTCATAAAGCAACAGGAATCAAGGCCAGACCATGCAACAACTATTAAGATTCACTGATGCACAGACTAAATACCCCGGATCTGGTTGCTGGCGGTTTCCACAGGAAACGTGGATTCCTCAGCTCCTGCGCTACGTGGCTCTGCAACCGTTTCTCTACCTGCAAGGCAAGAGCACTTACCGGCTCAACGATTGCTGGTTCTCCCTTCTGCCCTTTTTCACCTCGAGGTCCGCTGATCTGTACCAGAGAAGGAGGAGGCAAGTCAGGGGAGCAAGCAGGGATGCATGGATCAAATGACAGAAATAAATGCAAAGCACCAGTACTTTATCTTTGCTTCCTGACTGACTTCTGATGCTTAGTGAATGCACTATTTAATTTACAACAATCTTGGGAGAGTTCCTTTTAACAAGAGACTAGCATGTCAGATGTCTCCTGGGCCACCTCACCATCCACCACACCACCATTCATCCCACCAAAGCCCTCGTGGCTGCTCTTACTTTGACCCAAGCTGTATATGGCACCAAAAGCTGCTTTATTCTGTGCTAATCTTGGTAAAAAAGGCAAATTGCAGCCATATCCCGAACTTGAAAATTGCTCTGCATTTTCAAAGAAAACAAATAATGCCAAACCACCAATCCAGGTGTTGGGACTACAACTTCCAGATCTGTTGGGACTATCCAGTTGTGTGCAAATATGGAGACCTCCCCAGTCAAATTTTATGTTTCAATGATATTCACCGGCTGCTTCTTTGGAATCTGTAAACAATTGCACAGAAACAGCAAGAATGCATTCAAATTTGCAGAAAGGTGTTGTGTTTAGCTTCCTGCCCTGGAGAGGTTATGTCAGCTTCACTTGAGGATTCATTGAAACCTTCCATTTGACCAGGAGCACCTACATTTTTGCAGGCAACAGTACTGCCCAGGATTCTCAGCATGAGATCCCAACAGCAGTGGAGGAGGAGGAACTGGCAGCAGGAGCTCAATCTAACTTTCAGACAGAGGCAGAGTCCTTCCTCACCCCTTCATAAATGGTATCCTGGTTAGCAGGCATTCCAGGTCCAATATCAGGAGACTCCGTTCTGTCGAAGTAACCGTCATAGTATCCTTCCTCATACTCAGTGACAGAGAAGTCTTTGTCAGGATCTTCTTCACCTTCACTTACTCTTCCTGTGCTTGGTGTGCTCTGAACAGATGATGATGATGATGACGATGATGATGATGATGATGATGATGATGATGATGCAAAAGAAAGCAAAGATAGTACCAACAATTATAGGTGCCTTAGGAGCAACCCCAAAACATCTGGAGCACCCCTTGAAGACCATCGGCATGGACCATCAGTCCATTGCAAAAGGCAGCTTCACTTGGAACAGCTTCCATCCTGCAACAATACCTATAACGCCATCAAACAACCACATCTGCCTATCCCAGGTCCTTGGGAAGGACTCGAGAGGGGGATAAAAATGCCAAATCCAGTCTAAACATCTGGCTGACTATGCAACCAACCATACGAATAATAATAATCTTTCTAAGTGTTGTAATATTTTGTCAATGTTGTCAGTCATTGACTGAATAAATATTGTTATTACTCCTCCTCTTCCAAGAAGGAAGACAAAAAGGGGACAGAAGCAAAAATGAACTTTATTATAAAATATCTGCGGTCATTTTTATGTACTAATCAGAGCTGAAAGGCCTGAAAGGACCAGGTTCATTCTTAAGCAATCCTCTGCTGCAGAAGTGAGTAATCTTTGATAGATCTTCAAAATATGTCAAAAGACAGTTCTCATGAACTGCCAGCCAGCCTGGTCAATGGGAGCTAACATTCAAGATACCTGAAAGGTATCAGGCTGGAGGACAACAGCCTCTTTTCAAACCGCTTAAACTAGTAGTTACCATAATACAGCGATTTTGTCTGCCTTTTGTCCTGCCAAAGCGTGGTCTCTCCTGTGTGCTCAGAGAGGTCAAGTTTCCAAGCTGCCCTGGAAATTCTGCTTTTATCTGAGGAGACCTCCCTGTGCTGATCTCAGTCTTCATCTTGGGCAGCTCTGCCTTGCTAATGGATCACTTCGCAAAGGCAGGGAGAAGAAGGAAGCCAGGGCCAAGGCATGGGGCAGAGGACTCCCAGAACTTCTAGCGTCCACATAAGACCTGTGGCCCTAGAGCAATCTATCAGCCTACATGCACCTGTCCAATGTCTCCTGCATCCCGCCTGAAGACCACCAGGCTGAGTCCACACACAGCTGGAGCTGTACTGTGATGTCATTTGGTTTGGTCATTGGTGAGCTACCCAATTGTGGCCTCCTCCAGAAACCATGTTAAACAAACTTAGAGTAAACTACAGGCTGGAATTTTTTTTCCCCCATCCCACCCACATCTATGTCTTTGGCTTGAGAAAGCCTGGATTCACACTTTGTGTAACATCCTAATGTGGTCAGGTTGTGTTTTGTTTCACAGCTGGTTCACACATTGCAGGTAACACAAAATGTTATTTCACATAAGACAATCCAAACTTTTTATATTAGGTGTGGGTTGTAAACCAGGCCGCATGGCTGGGTGTGTCATGTGAACATAATCTTTCAACAAACCAAGACTTAGGTGAGAACCTAGAAAGAATTTCAGTTAAGCTCAAAAGCTGATCACTTGGTGGTGCTAGTGAAAAGAAGGTCTTTTGTGTTTTCCTTTGAGTCAGTCTAGACTCCTGGGGACTACGTGGACAAATCCATGCAGGTTTTTTGGCAACATTTTCAAAGGTGGTTTGCCTCTGCCTTTTTCCTAGGACTGAGAGGGAGTGGCCCACAGCCACTGGTTTCGGTGCCTGGAGGGACTAGAACTCGGGTCTTGCTGCCCCCAGGATAAGCCCTTTAACCACTAGACCAGACTGACTTTATTCTCAAAATCATCAGCCTGGCTTTAAAATTGCTCCACATGTTTGTTTCATTAGCCTCCCATGTGACCCCAAATATATTCTCTAGAAGATGCAAAACAAATTACATCAGTTTCATTGTAGGTGATAACTGTGCTGGTGGGAACTTCTGCCTCAATGCCACCTTCTGGGAGCTTATCAAAATTGTCAAGGTCTTCATAGTTGAGATCTTCATAAGGGATTGGCGTGTAGTACTCATCTGTAATGGGTCCATAGTTGTATTCATCTATCAGCAGATCGTCCTCTTCCGTGGGGGTCTCCTCCGGGGTCTTCTCCACCTCCAGTGGGGGTGTGGGCGGAGGGGTGAGGCTCTGTTTGAAAGAGGAGACAAGAGGAGGCTGAGCTGTCACAAGCTCTGCCCAGGACAGCCTAGTGGCTCAGAGAGGTGGGACAGCCATCCATAGAGCATTCTGTGCGGCAGCCACAGAATTCACATGCACACAAACACACACAGGTCTGGGGCCTTCCTGTTCTCTTCAAAAGTCTGCACAGAGTGACTCGATGGAGTAGAGCATCCCAAAACATTCAGACTTTCAAGATTCTGTTACTCTAACCTTATAATAAAGGTAATATTAGCACACATGACTTTGGTTGCCTAGTCTGGTCTACCTTGAAGGGCTGACATAAATCTCGCAAGTCTCGGTGCACTTCCCCCCTCCCTCCTTTTATCTTTGTGGGAACCAGGGAGGGTCTTGTCTGAGATGCTTTCTCAGATTAAGGTTCTGCCTCGGGCTCAGATTTCTTTTATCCAGCTACTGTGTTGGTTGTGGCTCTTCCTCCTGTTCTTCAAGGTTACTCCTTCTGCCCATAACAGCAACGTTACAGATCCCTGGAGGAATATTAATGCTGGTAATGTTGGGCTGGCTTCCTTCCCAACTCAAGCCATCCTTCCTAGGAGATGGAAGGTCAGACTCAGAGGACAAGACTTCCCACCTGACAGGACATCTATCTATGTTCTGAGGCCACAGGGAACAACACAGGAGGAGAGCCATGTTAATCTACAGAAGGCAAAAATTAGGAGGAGCCTGGTAGCATCTTTTCCAATTAACAAATTTTATAAGCTTTTGGGAGCCCCTGCTCACTTCATCAGAACCACAACCAAATAGTGATTTCTTCTTTTCCAGGGCATCTATGTACCCAGGCCAAGGCCTGCTCATGGTACCTTGAGCCGCTTGGAGAAAACACTTTCAAACGAAATTATCTAAAAGCCCATCCTCCTTGGGTTTACAGGAGAAAAGTCCATGCGCACAAGGAAATATGGAGGATGGTGGAGATGATCCACCTGGCAACCCAACAGGGGCTGTTCCTGGGCAGGAGAGAAGTACTTCCCACAGGCTCCCTTGGTCCTCGGAAGGATGCCCTGGGCCCGCCTGCCCTGCCCTGCCCTGCCCTGCCCTGCTCTCAAACCCTTCCAGGCAGGCAGAGTCAGGAAACAAGAGCCACTTGGACTTTTCAAAAGGTCTTCATTGCTAGTAGGAATCCTGAAACCTGCCAAACAATTTACAGCTCAACTTACACCTGGAGTAATTAAGTAATTAGTAAGTAATTAAGTAATTACTTGAGTCTCTTTCTCATGTTTCCTTCCTCTGGTGCACTCAGGAAGCTTTCCCTCCTTTTCTGCTTCCTCCTGTACTGGTCCTGCTCCCTCCTCCATGTTCCCAGGATCCGGGATTCCATCACACCTTCCCTCCCAAATGATCCGCACAGACAAACATCTCACTATGGCAGACAGTCCGGCCATCTCACAGTCCCTTACCTCAGTGGTTTCAGTCACTTCCCTGGCTACCTCATCAGTTTCCACAGGCTGGGCAGTGGTTGGGGCGGCTTTGCCTGTATCATCGAGGTCTTCATAATAGGGGTATTCATAATAGTAAGTTTCTCCTTCTCCTTCCAGGTTCCCATTCCCATCCGGGTACTGTGAAACAAGGAGAGGGGTTGAAATGGTGTCAGGCATCATTACATGACATCATGAAATGGTGGAATTCACTGCCACAAGACCTGAAGAAGGCCACCAACGTGGCTGCTGTTAAAGGGGGACTGGCTACATCCACAGGGGGCAGGTCTATTACGCATTATTGGTCTGAGCCCAGTGGCAGGAGAGAGGTGATCAACTCCTGCTTGCAAGCACCAAAGAGGCATCTCTATTTTCACCTAAGCATCCCCCAGAATGACAGGGCTGGGCACATTCCCCAGTATATGCTTACAGTCAAAACACAGCAGCATAACTATAATTTTCTTTGTAAACCATGCACAAAGTCATCTCACTTTCCTTGCAAACTGCTTGAGGGACAGATGGAGGGGTACGACTGCAAATATCTCATTAGGGCCCAGAATTCTGCTGTCTGATGCCCTATCATTTAGAAAATAGTGCTACAAAGAAAGGAGAAAGAGGTCACTGGGACCTTTTCTTCACATCTCCACAGTTGGTGCAAGGAAAGTCAGTATAACTGTATCCATGGTTGAAAAGTAAATGTAAGTAAATGACAAGGATTGACACGGTGGTGCCGTTTTGCTCTTCCGAAGTTTAGGAGGCTTGACAGTTCATTAGAGTTGGTTCCACCACTTGTTAATCACCTTCAGCAATGACCCCAAGTACTGATGCGCTGTGCTGGGTACAACAAAATCAACAAAAACGTAACTTTCATTTATAATAGCTAATAATGGAATCTCTGTGCCTCGTGCTTCTCTTCTGGGCTTCTTCCTCCCAGTCCACCTCCAAGGCCACATCTCCACATCGCAGCGCAGGGCTCTTTGGTTCTGAACACAGAGGATGACGGAAAAGGCTGTTCTCCCGCCTGCAACTCATTCCCCTTTCCTTCTGCTGCATGTGTAGATGCTGGTGAAGAGCGCTCAGCCAGTCAGTGGACTGCAGAGCTAGGAGGGCTCTCAGGCTGATTTTCTGGTTTCCAAGAGGAAGTTACACAATTTTCAGGGCAGAGGCTTACTCAAAAAACAGCAGCAATGATGATCACCATCACGACTGCTTCTTGTTACAAAGCCAGAAGCTTCTGCAATAGAGTGGGACACGCAGAATTACTGCTTGGAGGAAGCAACGTTGGGAGGATAAGATGCTGTACAAGAGAGCCATTCCCATCCTCATTTAAAGAAATAAAATCCCAATGAGCATTGTAGGTTACAGCTAAGATCACTGTGTAGGGTTTCAAAGGGGCTGGCAAACTTTTTTCAGACCTTCACCAACTTTTACATGGAAGTTCCAAGAGATGTTGCGTGAGGATGCTCACATTTTGCACATGGACGTTAACCAGCCCGTGACAGTCAAGAAAGTCATGATCAATAAAAGGACCGATGAAGTAGGCACGTTTCACTGCGCGATGTCCTTTCATCCATCCACGTATCTGGATTCTGATGTCTCACCATCTCCAAGTCTTCAATGTTTTCATAGAGGGGCATTTGTGTGTTTTGGAAGGGTATGGTTGGAGCAATATTTTGTGTGATTATTCTTTCTCAACTATTGTCGGACCGCACTTCTGATTCATATTGTTGGTATTATAGGTATTCTTTAATTATAAGAAAACCTTCCTTTATGGAACAGAATCCATGTATATCCAAACAGGGTTGTGTTAAACACCACAACAGAGAGTGATCATTTTCTGTCTTCCCAACACTCCACAGGATGTATTTCTGCATATTGAGATCTGGATCCTCTCTACAGACCTCTACTGTGTGCGGATGGTGGGGCGTACCTTTTGGCTCCAGCCTCCACCCCTAAGGTGGCCCGGGAAACTCTGCCCTCCCCAACCAAGACCTTCCCTGGGAAAGGCACCTCTGATGGCACACCGGGCTCCCACGTCTCTTTCGCACTTACGTATTCATCGGGGTTTGGATCTTGAGAATGAGGCACGTCTGGCACAGCCGTGTCGCAGTCTGGGCTGTAGTGTTCACAGTAATCGTAGGCCGCTTGATGGTCTGACACAATTAGCAGCTGCTGGATATCGCCCTGCAGGGAACAGACAAGCCACAGTCACCTCCCGCCAACTGAGGGGACACCAAATGAGGGCGCGGGGTGGGCAGTCCTCTTTACGATAATGCTCAGAGGTCCCCTCCTTTAAAAAATGAACCCACCCCACAATCTTTTCTGAATGCTTTAAATGGGGAGAGACCGGAATTCTCACACATTTGGCATTTCAGGAAATGTTGAGGGAGCGCTCACAAAATGCCTGCCATGCTGTGAGATCTCTGCTGTCTCTTCCAGTTCTTTGTGTCTATGAAAAACGGGAGCCCTGACTGGAAAATTGCATCTCCCTCCACCCCACACACAAACCTGTACACACACTGAACCCTTCTTTTTTTGATTCTCAAGTTGGTGTTGAGTCTGAGCAACCACACAAAGACTGCTGCCCCACCCTGGTGCATTTAGGGCAGGGGTTCCTAAACTTTCTGCCATCACATCTCCCTTTAGTGTAATCTTAATGTACATACCTCCCCTTAAAATTTTCAGAGGATAAAGTTCTTTTGAACTGCATGCCTAGGACATCGAATTTGACAACCGGACAACGTAAATGGATTCTCCGTGCCCTTACTATGGCCAAAGGACTGATATTGCAGCATTGGAAAGATAGGTGTTCGCTCAGTGGATTGAAGACCTGATTGCGCTCGCCACCTGTGAGCGAATTGCCTGTAGACTAGACTTTGTATGCACAAGGATAATGAAGCGTGGGGCTCATTTATACCAAACACAGTAGGTCAGCAAAAAGCATGATAGTTATTTTATTTATTTATCTATTTATTAAATTTTTCAACCGCCCATCTCCCCCCAATGGGGGAACTCTGGGCGATTCACA